TAAGATTAATCAGTAAAATGCTAATAGCTTCTTTTCATTTATTTATTTATTTATTTATTTATTTATGGGACAGAGAGAGACAGAGCATGAACGGGGGAGGGGCAGAGAGAGAGGGAGACACAGAATCAGAAACAGGCTCCAGGCTCTGAGCCATCAGCCCAGAGCCCGACGCGGGGCTCGAACTCACGGACCGCGAGATCGTGACCTGGCTGAAGTCGGACGCTTAACCGACTGCGCCACCCAGGCGCCCCTAATAGCTTCTTTTCAAATCACATCTTATTGTTTTGTATTCTGTCAAAGAATCAATCTTACGTCTTAGTAATAGCTCCACGTAAAACAAAAAGTGAAGTATGTTTAAGAATTAGAGGAAACCATGTATGTGGGGCTTTTTTCCTGAGTGGCCTATAGTCTCCATCTGAGTCACGCCCTCTGATGTTTTACATGAAGGAAAAAAAATAACCAAAACCCTGGGGGATTCTTTCTTCAATTCTCCCAATGAAAGCTGGGACCCCACTCCACCTGCCGTGAGCTTGGCAAGATGTAACATGATAAATTAACATGAATAGAAAAGAATCACGTGCCAGAATCTTCTACACTGAGTACTTTTAAAAAATCAGACTGGTGGTAGTATTCTTTTCAGTATATGGGTACAAATAATATCTAACCAAAATCTGTAATGAAAATAGTCCTAAATCCTGGCAGCATATTCAGCGTAGCAATTTAACATGATAAAATGATCAAACTAATTTAACTTTTTTACCTCCCCACTCCCAAGCCTTTGAAATTTCCTGTGACAAGATCTGACCTGTAAGAATTCTATAAAGAATTTCTGCCAACTCACTTCAAAGAATAATGAAAAAATTACAGAAATGCAACAATTTAACTTGCTGATACAGGTTTGATTTTAATCACTTAAAGTAGAACAGTGTTTTGATCTGGCTTGTTAATGATGAGGGACTAATCTTTAGAAGAGCAGAGAGGTGGGGTTTGTTTGCATGCAGACAAGCAACAGATTTTTATACTGCTGCTCTCTACCTCATTGGTCTCGGTGTATTTTATTTTCTGATAGTGTGTGCCTATTTCATGAACAATCATTAAATCTAATCTTGACAATTGCTTTGTTACACCCATATACGTTTTACAGATTGAAATCATCTACCTTAAACTTTCTAGTGGAGTGTGTGTAGACCTCTAACTCCAAGTGCATGTGCTGTAAGCATTTACTGGTATAGACATCCATGGCCTTCAGATTGACATCAACTTAACTTTCATGCCATTTGTTTTTGTTTCGCTGCGTTTTTTTGACTTTGCGCTGTGCCCGGATATCATAGTGTTATTTCTTTGGCAGTGCTTGTAGCTAGCAGAGCTAGATATTTAGCATATGTTAAAGAAAACTGCCAAATGTAAGGGCAACGTCGATCCTTTCAGTTACGGGATATGATCGAACTCTGGTTACGAAAGCAATGGCTAGAGAAGGAATAGTGTCTTGTAAATCGTCCGTAGGTGACTTAACAGTTGAGTAATTTTTCTAAGTCTCTGGTTACTTTATACAATTAATGCCTATAGAAAAATTGGTGACACGAGGGCAGAGCCCAAAAGATTCTGAGCTCAAGAGGGAGCAGAGTGGTATTATGTTCCACTGTATACACATATCCCCAGCTTCTAGCGCAGTGCTGGCAGGAAAGAAGTACTCAGTGTGTTAGCTGCTGTATTACTAGCTACTTATTGATCTGAATCGCATTTAAAAAAGGAAGCCAAGGTGGGAGAGAGAACAGAAAGGCCTGAATAATGGCTGTCAGTTGTTGCTGCCTTGAATTTCCTTACCCTGTGGCTAGACAAAGCCACGCTGCGTGGCAAGACTCAGAACACCTAGGAGGACTTTGTTATGCAAGCTCATTTTAACAATATAGATAAACAGTAATAGTGAGATGCACTTTAGCAAGGCCAGTGTCACATAAGCCATTTTGTATTTCAGTTTTTGTAGCAAGCATGTCGGCTACCAGCTTCTGACTTCCAGTAAGTGAATATCTCCATCGATTTCCAGCGTGTCAATATTGCTAAGCTCTTTAAATCTGTGTTTGTACTCCAGGCTGTGTACACCATTTACGGCAACCTTGAACTCTCTAACGTCACAATAAATTATCATCTGGAAGGAAAGTACACACAACATTAGTGGCTTCCCTCGGTTTAGGCAGTTCTCCCAGCCCGCTGGTGTTAACGTCCCTTCTTACTAAGATTCTGACTAAAGTGTATCCAGTAGTGGCACCTTCTGCCTCATCCCACTTGGGGAAGGGACTCTGAGCATGCTTGCAGCTTCACGCTGTCCCCGGGGCCCGAGGCCTGCCTTCCCTCAGCACCCTCCATCCACTGCACGTTCTCCCAGCGAAATGGGAAGTCGTTCCCTCCCCACACCCCCCTCCCCTCCCCGTGTCTGGGAACCGTAATGACGTAGGAAAACAGCCATCTTGACCCTTACAGAGGAGCCGACTGCAAGTAACAGGCTAGAAACCAAGGGACCTGGATCATGACCCTTCGGCCTTAAACCCCAGGAGCTTAGACAAATGCCACAGTAGAGAATTTCAGAGCTTTTAGGGCACTCGCTGGGACTGCACAGCCGCGTGGCAACCTTGACTCCATTTCCACCCCAGCTCCGCACATCGTAGTCTCCCATCTGTGTCTCAAGCTCAGGATTCTGTGGCTCTCTGGAGCAACTGGCCTTCTGGCAGAGTGAGTTCACGTCCGTGGCCAGTGTCAGCCTTCTGTGCTAGCCTTTCAGAGCTGTCTCTGCCGAACACAAACCCGAGAACATCAAAAGAAACTACGGTCCTTTCAAATCACTTTGACACGTCAGCCTCATACTTCCCGCTGCCGGCCTGGCCACCACGCTACCGTGTATTCTCCAGCCACACCGCAAAGACCAGTCTGGTGAACCTGCACCACGAAGCTTCTGAAGAGCAGCTCAGCCTGCCTCGCACCTGGCTCCACCCCCGGGGGCCAGACGGAGGCAGAATCTGAATCTGCAGAGAAACACGTTTTTTATTCTGCTCTGACTGGTGATAAATGGCTGCTGGGGGCGATTCCTTGGATAAAACGGTGAATGGACAGAAACAGGCTCTAGGTCTATGCAGAGAACCGAGGAAAATACCAGTAACTGGAACCACCTTATCCTCACAACAGCGCTGGAAATCCCAGTTTCAACCAGGAGGAAGGGACCTTTGGTAACATACATTTAACAGAAATCTCAACACAAAACAACAGCCTCATGCCCAGAAGGGAAAACAAGCTGGCATCAGAGGCATGTAGTGGGAAGGTCCGTCAGTCACCGACATCGTACGACACAGCGGGTGCGGCGCCCTGCGTTACCGATGGAAAGGAAGGGCACACGGCCTGGAAGATGCACTCCTGCAGAACAGATACTATAACCATGTGCAAAAGCCAGTCCCAAGCCCCCCCCCCCCCAAACTATCTGATGTTACAGAACAGCTCGTAAGAACATGAT